GACTAAAATATGCCACTGAAATAGTTTCTAGTATAATCAAACTAAACTTACCTTGAACTCACTCTTAAATCATTGATTTCCTAATACAAAGATATTAATGGTCAAAAATTCGTCCAACATCGAGTGGTAAATTTGTTTAGTGAATAAAAGTAAAAGAAATAACCACATTAACTTTGTGCTAACATAAGTTATATTTAACAGATGCATTGTGTCATACTTATTTCGTGATGTTCTTATATTGTTATGGAAAATTCTGTATCTGAGAATCAGAAAAAAATAATTGAAAAGGAGAATAAAATAGCACAAATAGTCCCGACAACTCGTAATGATAAATAATGGCGAGGTAACTCTATAATATCCCGTGCAAGACGTTAAACTAAAGGGAACGAAAGTCTGAAGACTTGATACTTATGAAGGTGTTAATTAGATAATTAAAAATCGAAATACTAAATGGTTTTTAAAATAAATCTACTCCAAAAGGTTTTCGTTTCCAATTATCAAGCTTATGAAATTCCGTAATCAAAAATGTCTAATTATTTCGCAAGATAATAATCATTAGCAATTTATGCAATTAATGGACAACCGCTACTCAGAAACATTTATTGGTAAATACAAAAAAGCTAAAGACAAGTTGAACGTATTTGCCACTAGAAGAAATTATTAATATAGTTTGCGGAAAATATGAATTACCTCCACTGCCAAATAAATGAATTGAGATCATTATAACTACTATGCACGAAAAAGGTTCATTTGCAATTCAACAATCAGCTATACAAACAAACCGTTGGAGTGGCCATGGGATCGCTATTAGGGCCTATCTTGAACGATATCTTAAAGACTAACCTAAAACAACCGAAATTAAAACACCAAATCCAGAACATAACACATTACTCCAGATATTTTGGTGATATGTTCCTTATCTGTGCTGATATGAACCACTCTTCTGTTACTTCAACAACTATCATTCCAACGTAAGGTTTACAACTGAATTTGAAAAAGATATCAGATCCAATCTTTTAGATCTTAGTGTAAGACAGGAAAATGATAGAAGTCTTGATAAAAGTTTACACAGGAAAAAAACACCGAGAGGTGTGCTGAAACAGCTTTTGTCCTATTAGTTACAAAGTATCAGGTCAAAAGACTCTTCAATAGAGCTAAGAAGTTATTTTAGACCGATCAGATAAATGAGAACTTGACTATTCTAGGAAAGCATCTCATAAAAATAAATACCAGTAGAAATTTACAAAGAAATATGGAAAAGATCATCCCAAGGATGATAAACAACCGACCGTTGGAAAGAAGCCTGTTTTCATCCGCCTTCTGTTCAAGCGAGACAAGATTTCAGGAAGAATCGACAGGAGAGTCTGGGAAGTACTAAAAAAAGCTCCCCTGTTGCTCATTTGGTCTTACTATGCAACACCAAGTGTTCGTGATACCATTCTAGGGCAGAATAATACCCTTTCGACGTCACCTCTAATGGCATCTACGAATTTACACATATCTGCTGTAGTAAGTATATAAGAAAGACAAAGAAAAAAGGGTCTCTACAAGGTTTTCTGAATACATGCCTCGAAACCTACAGGTGAAAGGAAGTAAGCGCCGTAAAAGTGAAATTCCCAGATACCTTTTGGAAAATTGACATGAAGTAGATGTAAGTAATGCATTTAAAACAGCTAACAGAAAAAAAACACCAATCTTAGCAGAGGCAATCGCTATCACATGTTTTCGATCTGATTTATGTATGTCTATCTTGTATGATATGGGACAGTATGTTTTAGATATGCATCGTTGTGTGATACCCTTGTCGCATCAACGAACTATATAGACCATATTGATATCACAGAATTTATACACACGCAATCGGTGATAACACCTCTGACCATAATGATATGATATAAGTTAATGTTATCGGGAATCAACTAATCAATCGAAGTCCTCTAGGAAGTCATTACCTATTATTTGCATGACCACTTCTGCTGTGAAAAATTCAGAGTGAAACGATATATTTCGACCAAGACTTAACGACGGCTTTTTCTTGCCATATGAATTCATAACCGACGTACTTGATGCTCTTAGTACTGGTGCGGTATCGACGTCTCATCTTTCGTTACGTACGAGGAGCACGACACTGACTTCTGATTATGAATCCACCAAAGCATGTGCACTCATCGTTCGATCTTGCATGTAAAGCAAAAGATTGTGTCTAGGAATTACGACAGTGGAAGAATCGCCACCGAAACCTAACGAGACCACTACCAATCCAATCTTCCGCTTTCAATCCACAAGATGGACTACATTTTCTTGCTTTGCTGTTATAAGTTTGATGATACCAGTATATCGAAGAAGTGTACTGATTCATAACATACAGAGAAAGGGAATTAGGGCCATGAAAGGATGAGTGGTTGGACGCATTGCTTTTTCATATATAGTTAGGGCTTGAATTTGTGAACTGCTAACGTCTCAGTAGTGCATAAGTTTCGAATACGACTTCTCTCTGATTAAATTTTTTCGAGTGTGAGGATTATTCTAAAGAATGGTCATTTTGAAGGAAAGTGCCCGGAGTTGATCAGGTGTTCTTGTATTTAACTAGTGATAGTTTTGCATTAGCTCTTTAAAATTCATATTGCTCACAGTTTTCAGACAGATTTATTAAGTGTTCGCTTTGTGAGGATAATTTAATTGGCTCACAAGTATAAGATAACTTACAGATGAACCTCAATGTGGCTGAAGGTGGAAGTTTATCCTCCACACAACCACAGCTAGAGAAAACAATAAGAAGCTTGGTTGAAGAGAGAAATTTTATAGGAGATTTTGAAATTCTTTTATTCAACTTTTTTGTAGCCAGATCTCCTCTAAATACTCTATTCATAAATGCTGCTTTATTTTGAGCCTTCCGAGATACTTTAGGATACTGTGCAGTTATTCGTTTTATGCCTGTTCGCTTACGTGGATTTCAAAATAGTTCGTCAGCTATGGTTTCATGATATTATATTCTCCTAGTATTCCAGTATAAAGTGTGAAATAGGTTTCTCTTTCTATGCAATGTGTCCCAGCTATGTGAATTTTTATACTGACCATTGCGAATCGGTTTTCTATACATCGATCTTTATAAGACGCCATCAGGCTTTATTTTAAACAGGACGTCAAGAAAACGAAAATCCACGTCCACTCATATTTTTAATGCGAATTGTGTGAGTGATTTTATTCAATAACTTTATCCAATATTTCATTGAGCATCTTATTTCGTTCACGAATAATGTATTATGGAAATTCATAAAGACACTTCTCATATTTCGTAACGTCACTTGTCCTGATAAACGTTACCAGGCAAATCCCGACAGTAAGATTCAGAAGACAATAGGAAGCGTTGACTACAATTTACTTTCGTATACCTTAGATCACACAGCCACAACACACGTAGCGATTACGGACAAAAATGAGAATGCAAAGAAATCAATGAATAAGATTTAAGGATCACATATACATAGGAAAGCGATTGAGCCATCTGGTTCTAATATACTTCAATTTAAAATAACATATATTACGCTAAACTAATACACATTCGTACCCAAAATTATGAATAGGATACAAAACACCACCTCCATTAAATAAACTTGAGAGTCAAAAGTTTCAGTGCAATTAGTAGAAAGTATAATTAATAACGACAAAAAATATTTGTGATTGCGTTACAAAAATACATCGGGTCGTTTCTTTTGAAAGAAACAACATATGGAACTACAAACAATTTTCTATCAGTCAATATCAAAGTCAAAACCTTCAATACGAACGTCAAGACAATTAGTTCTACTGTATGAGGCTGAAACTTCGAGAACTACCACAACCATAGTTAAAAAGGTACAAGTATTTGTAAACAATTATCTACTCAAAATACCATATGTCCATTGGCCGGATACCATCCGCAATAAACTACTGTGGAAGAGAACAAACCAGTTTCCAGATGAAGAGGAAATCGGGAAAAGACGTTAGAGGTGGATAGGATATGCATTGTGGAAATAAACAAACGGAATCACGAACCAAACGCTAACGTGGAATCGTGGAGAGAAGAGGAAAAGAAGGAGGCCGAAGAACACACTACGTCGGGGATTGAATGCAGACATCGAAAGAACAAATAGGAACTGGGAAGGATTGTCCAGGACAGAGATGGGTTGAATTATGTAACTATTGTAGAACAAAACTTTCTAAGAAGCATAGAGACCATTCAACGGACATCTTACGTTTAAAGCCACGTTAAAACAAATATGATAAAGGATTAAGCAACTCTTAAAATAATACTTCAGTTTAGTGACCAGTCTTGAAAAGTTTATCTTCCAGGAGATTCGTATAGTTTAACATGGAAATATTTGACTATATGATCTTCTTTAAGAATTTTTCATACTGTCCATTTCGTTAATCTTCGTTGATGAGAATTTTCCTGATATTATAATATAAAGTATGCACATTGCTTTTTTGATAGTTCATACTACTGTTATATTTAGGTTGTAAGCATCCGAAGAAATCTCGTGAATCTACATTATTCTCACGGTTTCTATTCCTGTTTTTCTTCGAAAGTGATAATTTTATTCATTTCCAATCGATTAATTTTCCTTAAGCTAAACTTTTCCGTCTGATAATTTGATCTACTGTGTTTTACCACCGACCATCTAGTTAATTACAACATATTAGTAACTAATATCGTTTACTTCATACTTGGAACTGATTGGTAGACAATTATCAAGTCTTTATGTGTGACACACCTACGACTATGTTCAAATATCTGTCCAGGAGTCAACAGACAATGTTACACCAACTGCATACAACAATATAACGAGTACTATACCAAAAAAGAATATTGATATTATATAGGTTGATGAGACTGATTCACATGAATAAAGACACATCTTTTTTTAAACTATTTCACTTGGTGATTAATTAATAACATCAGTATTTAAACAGAAAACGTTTTTCCAACCATTACAGCTACTGTTGTTGTCTTTTGACACATGAAGTTAAACATATTCATTACGATATGTTGGATTTCCGTAAGTTGAATGTACATCCGAAGAAATTGTTCTTTATCTTATACTTTCTGTTTGATAGATAATTTCCCTAGTATTTCCAACAGACGAAGTTAAACTTCAAAAGAAACCAAAGTGCGACGATAAAACACAAGACAAAAATCGTGTAGAGAATAAGAGGACAACAGCTTTTGAAGGTAAGTTCATACCAATTCGATAACTAAATCCCAATTAAACTGTCTTATTAGTTGCCAAAAACCTAACTACATTCGAAAAGGAGAAACCAAAGTACAACGGTCAAAAACAAAACAAAAATTGTATGAAGAAAAAGAGAACGAAAGCTTCTGAATGTGAGTTCATACCAATTCGGTAACTAAATTGTCTTATTAGTTGCCGAAAACCCAACTACATTCGAAAAGGAGAAACCAAAGTGCAACGGTCAAAAACAAAACAAAAATTGTATGAAGAAAAAGAGAACGAAAGCTTCTGAATGTGAGTTCATACCAATTCGGTAACTAAATTGTCTTATTAGTTGCCGAAAACCCAACTACATTCGAAAAGGAGAAACCAAAGTGCAACGGTCAAAAACAAAACAAAAATTGTATGAAGAAAAAGAGAACGAAAGCTTCTGAATGTGAGTTCATACCAATTCGGTAACTAAATTGTCTTATTAGTTGCCGAAAACCCAACTACATTCGAAAAGGAGAAACCAAAGTGCAACGGTCAAAAACAAAACAAAAATTGTATGAAGAAAAAGAGAACGAAAGCTTCTGAATGTGAGTTCATACCAATTCGGTAACTAAATTGTCTTATTAGTTGCCGAAAACCCAACTACATTCGAAAAGGAGAAACCAAAGTGCAACGGTCAAAAACAAAACAAAAATTGTATGAAGAAAAAGAGGGCAGTGGCTTCTGAATGTGAGTTTATATGATTTCGATAATTAAATTTCAATCAAACTGTCTTATTAGTTTCAACAAACCCAGCTAAATTCGAAAAGAACAAAGCAGAGTGCGGCAGTCAACCATTAAATAAATGTATAGAAAAGCTTAGATCTACGGCTTCTAAAGGTGAGTTCACGGTATATCGATAATGAAATGCCACTATAACCATTTTTAACTAAACCGACATTTCACTATATTCGAGATTTCCCGTAAATTTCGAATAAACAACATGAAATATCAATACTTTTTATATCTTCAACTCTTCGTAAATCAGTTTCACATACCCAATAGTTTTGAAGTCCACATATATATCTATTTTAAACACCATCCCATATAAGCCCATTGAAGAAGCACCACTAACGTTGAGGAAGACGATACTTTGTACAATTCAGTCAACAACCAAATTAAGAGGTTTAATAATGAGGTATGTAATTCATATTCCCATAAAAACGCTTTTCCTTATAAACTAAAAGATAAGAGCTTCAGTCCTAGTTATGTCATTTGAGGATGATACTCCTAATTTGTGTCATGCAGTCAAAAAATTACGAAGCCGTCTTCAGGATTCCCTATTCACAAATTTATTTTTGAACCATTCAAAAATACGAGCTCACTGCGAATCGCAACTCATCTTCGAAAAACCATGATACACTTTTTTAATAAATACCTCATATAAGCATCTGCTATTTTGAGACACATCTACACAAACGTTTATGAATACCACTTCATTAAAATAGTGTCATATTTACCTAAATTTATTTACCACAAATACAGAAACCTGACAACAAATTAATTGGTTATCTTCAGGAAAATTAATCTTCCTGTTACAACCAACCATCAAGAAGAAGTAATGTTTAGTTGATTATTTTGACTTCAAATGGTTCGAAAACACCAAAATAATGGAGCGCAAACGTCTGGCTAGATATTGAGTTATTTATCATCGATAGGTTTAGTAGCAAACTAATGCAACTCGACTTGTTTCACGGATCTTCAAATACACGTTCTAATTATCAGCTGGTCCAAATTAAAGGCTGAATGGACTGAATACTGGTTAGAACGGCCTGCTAGGTTCCAATTTAATTCAGTCATTGAGAGTTGTACTCAGATGTCTTGCGATTCGGAAATATGAATCCACAACCTCCCTACTTAATAGAACATTCTAACTCATGGTGGGTAGAGAGAAAGGACTTCAAATATGTGAGATTCATAAAATGCCTTATCAAATATTTTATATATTTAACTAAAATTATCGATTTGATCGATAATTTGAGGAAGACGGTGTCTTACGATTAGCTGTATATTATTGATACTTCTATTATCCATGTATCTGCTTTTTAATAATCTTGTAGCTGCTTACGATTCTAGAGCAAACAAAAAGGATAATTTAGGTAACATAATAACAGAAGAAGTCAACGAATCCTTAAAACAGAAAAAATATCAACAACAACTATTCTTGTGCCATGTTAACGAAAAATTGAAGAAACGATGGAAGCACTGTTTACGGGGTGATGAGAAAACGCTACATGCCAGAAAGAAATATCTGGAAAGTATAAATGACAAACCGGAAGCATTCAATGTTACAACATACCTAAATATAAACTGAATAACTAAATTATGAGTTTCACACTGTTTTACAATAAACCTTGGTATTTTCCTCTTAAAGTATTCACTAGTTGTACCAGTTTCACATTGTTTTGCGTTCCAACAAATTAACAATCATCTCATATTAACAATAATTTCGAACAATTTCCAACCAATTATTTCTTATGTATGTGCATTCAGTTGCATTCACCAATGAACAATTTTTAATAAAGAATTCAAAAAGTAACCATTCTTTCTATCAAACGCATTAAATATACCACTGCCATATCATACCCTTTATTACACAACACTCAATGTAACATTCCGCTTCAGTAAACAGCACATAGTGTGCCTGATTATACATGTTTAATCACAAACATTCTATTAGTTACGGCAGAACGAGTATCATTTCTAACAATAGAGAAGAACCAAAATGAAATACATCAATTTAAAGCTTCTAAGCTCATATAACATTCACCACATAATATATAAGAACGTTGATTGGATGACCTATTCAGTGTACAATGAAACGAAGAACCATGTACTACCTATTTATATTCGATAATTTTGATGTTTAATTATAATTCCTTGAAAAAGCTTGGACCAGATTGCCAGGTGAAACGTTGGATTTACTACAAATTCATTCGCTGAGATTTTACAAATATATATTATTCCTATTTAATGTTCACCACATAAGTTTATAGTAATAATAATAACACTAGTAAGTCCAGACAAGTTAACTGGACGAAACGTTGGAATTATTTGAATTTCAAATATAATGACTAATAATAATTATTGTCTGCGGATATGCTTAACTGGCTTGTGCTTCGTATTGAGACCTCGATTTCCATGATGAGTAGTGAAAAAAACAAAGGCTAGTGATATGAATTTATTTGACTCCAGTTAAAATCAAAATCAGTCGGAATTCTATTAATGAAACTGAATAGTATTTTACATTAATTGATTAATAACTGAGTTAACACATTTGTAATATCATACAATTAAGCATCTATAATCTAAATAATATAACCAATTGACCAAGTTATATAATTACTCTTAAAAATGTGATTACGTATTATGAACGATCTGTTTCACAAGTTAGTTTCACTTCAATAGACTTAGTCATTCAATGATAACAATACCAATAATAAGAAGAAGAATAACATTTTTATTGTCACCCATAGTATTGTAGTTCTCTGACAGCTTAACAATTACTGACTACTCCAAATTAATTGATAACAGAGTCCGTATTCAACGTTGTATTGTCCAGCCTGATATTGTCTGGTATAAATATTCGTTTATAGATGATAATTTCGTTTGAACAGATTAGAAATGAGATCTGCTTCCGTCTCAACATAAATTTTCATTGTGTATGGTAAAATGCCAATAGCATACTCAAATTTTCGAAAAATTTAATCAAGTTTATCAAACCATTAGTATATTGGTAACAATTATGAACTACAACGCATGATGTCATTTATTCGATTGCCTCACTAAACTAATTGGTCAATTCAATTCGTACAAAGTAGTTCTTCATTAATGTCAGTTTACTGACTTACTCAGGATAGGGAAGGAAATAGTTTAACACGTCGACAACTTTACTTATTTTGGAAGTCTGATCAGCCCTAATGGGTTAGTGTCTACCGTTATCTCAGCACGGATTCAAAAATCTCGTTTGGCTTTTGCCAACTTACGTCACCTATTGCGAAGGCAAAATATCCGTCTATCAAGTAAAGGACGAGTATACTTTGGCATTTCCAGACAAGTCGATTTCACTCCCTTATGCAACTCTCAAGCAACTACTGCTGGACCATGTAAAGTATTCAAATTTCGAATGCGCTAAAAGAGAAAAATTCGATGAAATGACTCGCCAGAACATCAGGAATTCCACTATTTTACTACGTCGTCACAGTCCAATACGTAATCAAGGTTATTCAGATAACAATGCATTGGTGAGTTGTGAAACAGTTCACGAAGATTAGCACAAATTTGGTAAATGCTTGTTCTGTGGCAAGTTTCACCCATCTAATTCATGTGTATTTCGTAATTCTAAATGTTTAAATGTGGTAAAACTGGACACATTCAGTCAGTTTGTAATACCATGATTCATTTCGCTGAAACTAATGCTAAAATTTGGGATTGGGATTCTACTAAGTTGGATGTTTCTATTAATCATTTATCTTTATCCAAGACTTCTAGAAGCGACATAGGGTCACATTACATTCCACAGTTGAATGAAACCCAGAATCTCCGTGAGGCAAAAGTTTCCAATCAACCAACTTCTTATCAGATTTTTCATGTTATTGTACCAGATATGGTTCGTTCTAATGATCCACATATTTCTGATGAAATTTCTTACAACTCTGAAAATAATATCTTGAATGAGTCAAATCATGATCAAAAACCGGATCCAGTTTTCGTAGATGCTGATCTTTCTAATGATTCATTATTCTCTAGTGAAACTCTTAATAAATTTGAGGGAAATATTTCAGAAAAATCAAATCCTGATGTCATATCACATATCATTTATCCTCATAATGCATTTACTTCTTGTGGGAAACTTATTCAATGCTAAGCACGAGTACTAAGTGAGCTTGATTTTCATTACAATTCGGATAACTTCATATCAATTGTTTTTTATACTTATCATGAAGTCACTTCCAATGAATACTCTAGTCAATATGTGAAATATGTTTTAAATGAAACCGCATTATCTATAACTTGGGGATATAGAGATCCAACATTATTTTGTGGGGTAAGATAGTGTTGGAAAATCTATGGTTGAAACTCTATATATCAATGGTTTCAGTGCACAATCGACATGGTGATTGTATACAATTCTAGGACCCAGGTGAGTCCGTCCCCATTTCGATTGTTAATTCTAATACTGACGAGTGCATTCAAGATAATAGAGTCTATATCAAATATACTGTCGAACAGACGTAAGATGAACTCAAGAGGAAGACGTTCAATCGATCACAGACACTGACACTGCAATTAAGGCTGTGTCGGATCAGCTGTTCACACGAATCAATCATTTCTTTGTATTGATGACTGTTTTGATTTTGAATTCCAAATACAGTCCATTCGTTCGTGCTCATCTAATACTTCTTGATTAAATTGCGTTATTCATGGGATTACTAGTTTATACCATAATTCAAATATTCTCAAACATCACACTACTATGAATTTGGTGTTCACCTTGTTATGCTAATGAGGTGTGGCAACTGGGACCAATGCATATATGTGCCTGGTTTTACGTTGTAGCTGATTAACTGATTTACTCTAATAGGCTGTTGTTTTTAGCTGGTTGGAGGAGATCGGAAACCATGAAATTCGACGTTTATTCGTTGGTCCCGATAAAGTCAATCATTCTCCATATCATATCAACATAGTTGAAGACTCATGTATTCAACACAGATGATACACCCAACGAAATGTGATCTCATGTTTACTTTATTCTATCGGATATTTTCAAAAGTCCTCAAACAATATATTTTCTCATAGAAACACGAGAAAGAAAACACCCAAGTGTTACGGAAAAAGCCACATGAAATCCTATTGAATGTGTACGAATGAAATCGCATAGTTCAAAACGCACTCACATTTACACAATATAAAATATAGTGAAAAGAAGCATCTTTGTACAAGAACTGAAATAAGAAAAACAATTTAAGATGAGGACAGTTTTCGTCTACTCATATGTAATCGCTCATAACCATGAACAACAACACCATTGTCACGAAACTAACCATATATATAGCCAGATAAAACTACGCTTCCAATTCCAATTCGTTTATCTCAGCTTCAATATCAGCCAGATCTGTCTCATCAAACAATTCTTCATCGATCACCACATCTACATCAAAAAAATAAATCGTAAGAGAACAACTTGGAGTAATATGCAATAATTACCCTCGAGATAACCGTCAATAAAATAACTATCTCGTCGACTAAAATCTGTTTGGTTAACTAATCGATTTCCATTCCCAATGGGATTATTAACTGCTACAAACTTATCTCCTAAGTTCTTGCTCCTGATTAAAGAAGACTACATAGCTGAACCGTGTGACATTTTACTCAGTTTCACATTAGAATCCGATTAACCCTTGCTGATATCCTAGGTAGTTTCCACTGTTAATACTATATTGTCAACGACTCCCAAACTAAGAAGTATTATCTACCCTGTGAATCGTGGTTTTTAATGGTTCATCAGCTGAACTCAATCATTGACTAATAGTGTCTCGAAATACAAAGAAACAAAATGTACTGTAAAAACATAAGTAAACAAATAACCAGTTAGATTTTGAGTGCTGGAATGTAAATATTCTATTTGCAATTTTTTCATTACTACTGACTAATGTGATTAGTTCCGTGATAGTCTTGAGAATTTGCAACTATACTACTGAAACATTATTTAACAGTATCAATGTGTTCCGAATAAAATATAGTGAAACCGAAAAACAGATCATTTTAACTTTCTATCTTTTGTTGATACATTACAATTCACAGATGGCGATTATGGTCACGATAGACTCAGATACCCGAAATGTGGAAGTAGTTATCGTAGATACATTTCTCAATGATACACAAATCCCAAATACTTAATATCATAGAGAAAGGCTACAGGCTCAAGTATAAACATCAGTTGTCATTATCTTAGTACACGATTCTAAATCCTGCTTTATGGTAGACTATTCACTTTACTAAGGAATTAAAAATCACTTCTAAAAATTGGTTATTCTACACCCAGAACCCGAAACTAAGCACAAAATAGATTACAACACTCCATAATATTACTTCTGAGATAAAACCTCAAGACACATACCTGTTATATAGAATACGAATGGAGAGCGGAGGCTATATCTTAACTGACGAATAAATACACAGAAATAAAAAACGAAGATATGACATCTCCTGTTATGTCCGATTAAGAAAGACCTGAATAGTAACTTTCGAAGAATATTTCTGGACTACATATAAATATTTAACCTCGCCCGTAGGTATTCTAGACCACTGTTGGTCCAAAACTAGGATAAAGGATGATTGGATATAAGGACAGTAACCACATCCCATACAAAAAAAGCCTTGAAAACAAACTCCAACCAGATTAAACAAACTGAACAATATCAACTCTATCCTCCGAGTTGAAGGATCATCATTCAGAAGAATTATAACCCCACATGGTGAAAGCCGAGATTCTTACGAAGTCACGACGCTGATATCTCTTCTAACAATCAGAGCAACAATTAATGTAGGCATATGAACTGTCCGGACAATGTGAGAGACTAGGAGGGTCAGTTGAATAGCCACAGAAATGAGGAGATACAACTCGACGGATCTCAGAATCAGTGAAACCCATTAGTCACAAGCTGGAAAGAAAAGATTAGATTCAGGAGAGCTGGTGTTGTACTCTGGTCATGGAGAAGAAAATGATCCACTCACTCAGGGAGTTACACTGATGCTATCCAAGAAGCACGTAATGCACTTATAGGATGGGAATCTAGTGGATCGAGAATCATCAAAGCATCCTTCAAAACAAAGAGAGGAAATCACAATGAATGTTAACCAATCTTATGCACCCATCAAAGATAGCGATGAGGACGACAAAGGTCATTTCTATGATAGAATTCAGTCGGTTATGAAGAAGAGCTGATCATCCTGATGGGAGACCAAAACTCCAAAGTCAGAATGGACAACACAGGGTATGAAGATAACATGGAACGACATGAACTGACTGGAAGAAAGGAACGAGAATGGTGACAGATTTTCACGTTTATGTGCAGTCAACAAAATTGTTATAGGTGGCACAATATTTCCCGACAAACACATATACAAAACTAAATGGGTCTCACCGGATCATATTACACAGAATCAGATCAACCATATTTGCATAACTAAAACATTTAGAATGTCAGTAAAAGACGTGAGGACCAGGAGAGGAACTGACAGCTTCAGATCACCGCCTGGTGGTTGCCGTGATGAAACTGAAGCTAAAGAAGCACTGGAGAATCGGAAAAACAGCATTACGAAGGCTTAATACAGTTTTCATTCGATATAATAACAAACTCAAGATAGCTCTTGACAGCAGGTTACAAGTCATACAAAACCAACTCAAAGAAGAGGGGACTGTTGTGGAGAACAACTGTAAAAGGGATCAAAGAAGCACTAACTTCAACGTGCCAAGATGTACTGGGCCCAAACATGCACCATCATAAGGAATGAACCTCTTTCGAAGCCCTGGACAGGATTCAAAAAAGGAAGAAAAGGAACACAGCAATTAACAGCAGTCGAACGTGAGCAGAGAAAGTCAAGGAACAAGATGAATACACAGAAGCAAACAAGCAAGTTAAGAGGAACATTCGACCTGACAAGCGCAAACACGTGGAAGGCCATCGCTGACAGTGGAGAAAGCTGTAAGAGAAGGAAATATGAGATAACTACATGATACAACAAAGAAACTGGTAAACTAGAGAGACCAGTCAAGGACAAAGAAGGCAAGCCAATCACTGAAATCGAAAAACAACAGAACAAGTGGGCAGAGCACTTTGAGCAACTCTTGAATAGACCAGCCCTACTCAACCTACTGGACATAGAAGCAGTACCTACAGATCTTCCTTCTTAAGCCATCAAGTGAATGGAAGTCGTCACCATACATCGAATTCCTTCACCATGAGAAAGCACTTGTGTTCGGGCGATCCTGAAAAGTTCTTGCAATAGGCGGGAAAGGCTCAGGAAAACATTAAGAAGTATTTTATCCATCAGCAAAAAACTACTGTGGAAGAGAACAAACCAGTTTCCAGCTGAAGAGGAAATCGGGAAAAGACGTTAGAGGTGGATAGGATATGCATTGTGGAGATAAACAAACTGCATCACAAACCAAGCGCTAACTTGGGATCGTGGAGAGAAGAGGAAAAGAAAGAGGCCGAAGAACACGCTACGTCGGGGATTAGATGCAGACATCGAAAAAATGAATAGCAACTGGGAAGGATTGTCCAGGACAGAGATGGGTGGAGAATTCTGGTGGGCGGCCTTTGCTCATCCGCAGAGGGTAACAGGGGTAGGTGGGCATAATTATATATACGTAGCTTCTTATGGTATAATTAAGTAACTAGATTATATATTTTCATATACCTTTGATGATAAGCCTTCGTTTGACCCATTAATATACGATTTATTATCCTTAATTTGTTCCCAATCTATATTTTATTCCTCCCTGCTCACAACCAACTTCGGCTTAATATTGTATAATTTTTATTTTTATTTTAGTGCGATGCGGTCTAGTCTGCTTGCATATAAACTACGTATGTTTGGAATATATTATTCACACGATAGAGACTGATCATCATGTTCTGAACTCAACGGGCAGAGAAAGGCAAGAAACCTTTGTATCGAGGAGCAATGAGGATTTAGAGTTGACTCAAAGCTACTAGTACTGATTGGCTTGTCACTGGTTGGCTTAGCGATAAGGTCACAGAAAACGATATTCTGACTGGTGGTTCGTCACAAGATATTTGAAAGGGTCATAAGGCAATATTCTTACCTAATGCATTTATGAAGCCTTCGTGATAATGTCTGTAAAATACCACATGTACTTGGTTTTAAATCACACATTAAGTGGTAGGACTCGTGATAATTCTCAACGGCTCAAAAGTTATTACGCAGAGCAAGATTCAAACCTGTGACCTGGATGAAAGTTGAACTGCTTTACCACTAGACCACTCCTGTCTGAATGTGAGCATTGTTACAGTTTTTTGATAAATAACGTACTTTGGATTAAAAACAAAAAGTACAGCTATGCGTACTCTATGATGAAAAACAGAATAACCAATAAAAATGATAATTAACTAACCATCAGTATTATAACCATTTTCGTGTATTTCGCTAACTCCCGGTATAGCACAATCCCCTGTTAATTCAGTTCCATCATCCTCTGAAAAATGAAAAGAGCTTTATGCTGTTAATGTTCAACATTACGCCTCTGAAAATAAACGTCAAGATTACTAAATCCCTAATATTAATTTTTCGTAGTTCATTTTGGAAAATGACACAACCACTCACTTTGTACTGAATAGTCTAATCCCTAACGTTGGTTGAAACGTGCCAATCAAGTTGAAATATGGTTATTATGTCAAGTAATCAAACACTCTAATGCTCTCTATTTGATATTAGGTGAATAGAATTTACCGTCTACAATTTTGATTACTATACCATGATTAACTGATGTAATGTCTCAACCCTAAAGGTAATCAGTCACAATTGGAAGAGCTTATTGATAACATTTCTGCTTGTGACACAAATCCGAACACGAGTTAACCCGTAATTCTAAGTAGACTTTGTTGATGAGTTCTAAATACCAAGAAACCTAGACCTAGAGATCCCAAGCGATTAACTTGAATCACCTAATACATCAACGACCCTACTAGAAGATAGCTTAGAGTGATTTCGATTAAAAAAACTAATGAAAGTAATTTAAAGTGTTTAAACTAAAATGCTGAAAACTCTTAGAAAGTATAGACGAACATTTCAGTAGCGTTGTATTTACTGAACTAAATGGTCTAGCTGTGAAGCTTCTATTTTCAGTGTGAACAATAGTAATATCAGCCCCTACCACATGAAAAAGGAATTGATGATGTTGTCCAAAACGGCAGAGGAAAATCTGCAATTAATACCACTAAACGCATCCATCCAAGCTGTAAACCTTCATCACAAATAAATATTCGTTAGGAAACAATAATATTCCCCAATATATCTCAATAGACCTAACCTTCTGAAGTCACAGAATTCCCCATCTTCAGTATTCTCTCGAGATGACCCCACACACGAGTCGAAACTTAAAACAAAAGACCATTTGTATGATGTTAAACGTGGCAAATCAGATAAGTCATGAAATCAAACTCGAACTTAAGAAAGAACTAAAATCAGCTTCGGAAATGTTCTTAATGTATATCAAGACTTATGAGTATTCATCACACGAATCAGGTTTGTGACCACAGAAGCCCTGAACATCTAAGACAAACTATCTGTTGTTTCATACAACACTGATTTGCATCAAAGCTATGGCACATACTGTAAACTTGAGGGTAGAAAATAAGAAAAGATTCAATAACAGTACATCACAAGCTTTACATCATATATATATACTCAATAATTCTAATTGGTTGCGGAGAGAATAAGAGAACAGCTTGAAATAAAAGTTCACATATATCACACAAACTTACTGTCCTCATATTCAAGCACTTCGATCCCAAACATATTCAAGTCAATATCCCTAACAGGACCATCATACTAAAAGATAAAAACACAGGACAGTAAACAAAAAGTAAGACAAAGCAACCCGATCGATAAATGTATTTAAAAGGAAATCAGGCAACATCAATGAAAATGTTCATCACTGATGAAAAGCACTAAAATGACAACTTACGATTAACTGTGATATGATTAAGGGTGCCATCATGAATAAACTTTAGTGATCTGATTAACAATGTAAGAATTTGTTGATTTATTACATGATCTCGTTTGTATATCATGAAGGTTTACTGACTCACCACACTTACTAATCCTATACGTCTTCAGATCTAAGAATTCGGTAATAGTTAAGTGTCAATGTGTTTAACCATATAACAGGACACAGAGACTATGTCAGTGTCCACGATGGAATGAATAATTCATTCGCTTTCAGTAAGTCAGTCCATGTGTGCACTTTTTGCCGGCTATCCGCACTTATGATAGCGTGTGATCTAATTGGATTTACAACAGGACGCGATCTCCTAAAACGTGACCCACATATCAGACACTTGTCCCTATTTCCAAAATGTAGCAACCAACGACTGAGATTATTTTAAATGGATAACATTTGATTCTAAAGCCTACCGAATAGCGCAGTGAGTAAAACTAATAATACTCAGCTATTATCTCAGAAACCAAGGATGTGACCTGTCTCTTTCACACTAAACAAGGCTTAGTGTTAATGTTTCACTTAAAAGTTCGCTATGTAATGAACTGAAGTTCTTATGAGACAGTTTTCTAGTGATCCTACTGTTTCTCTTAGTTTCTTGTCTCCCTCGAAATTCAAATACAAGTATGTGTTGTATTACGTCCCTTACGCCAGCTAGTAATACTATAACACTAAAATACCTGAAGATAAAAACAAAAACGGTTAAATACAGTAATACTGAAGATACTAAATCCCTAGATATAATTTATTCGGAAGAAATCAGTCCTAAAATTTACATATTGATTTAAAGTGCTTTTCTTTAGTTGACATTCGGTACATTTTTATGGTATCAGTTAATTCGCTATGACCTTTCATTTGAACGAAAATTGTTTAGTTTGAACTAATAATCACTGACCATAATCATCATATAATTGAATGGGCTCTATTGAACACTATTCTGCTTTCTGCAAAACAAATTTCCCTTATGTGATTTGCGTTTTGGAGTAGCAGAGGTTGAGAGAAGAGTGTTGCTGTATCGTGGTATCGAAGTTTAGTTAGAGCAAACACAAATATATCAAAGAAATAATGCAACTTGGTAACAAAATTTAGGATAATGCAACAAGCCGTGAGATACATGTATAATATTAAACCTAACGTTACTTTTGGTAATCAAAAATCAGCGGACGGAAGTTTGGCGTTCATACTAATAAGTAACAATTTCGAAAACCAATGACTTAACTTTGGGAAGAAATAAATAGGGTTAAATTGTATACTAACTTCATTTTCTCCATCATCACGAATTCTAGAGTCAACAACTCCAGATGTCTCATCATCATCCAGCGCCTCCATAACCAATGCTGGGTCAAACTCAAAGATCTCCCGACCACTTATCTACAATCGGGATCAACAAATATGAAACAAGTAAAAGATGGGAATAATATAATCCATTTCTTTTAGAAGACAAATACTCAAGAGTAATAAGTAAAGAATAAAATAACTCTATGAAGATAGCAGACAGACAGATAGCAACAAAGTAGAACTTCGTACCTAGGTACATTAGTACGTAGATAGCATAAATTAGAGTGTAAAAATCGAACATTTTTAATGCACTTATGAAGCCAATGAAATCATAATAACCCTCCAGTTAGTGGAATATAGATTGAATTAAAGCACGTTTCGTGCAGGATTGTGTTGGTGCACGCTGATCGGCTATTTCTTATCCAATCAGCGCTAGTGAATACTTGGAGAGGACTCTAGAATCTTCTCATGTAAAAACCGTAAATATACTGACGTTTTTTTCTTATTGCGTCTATTACTTCCATCTACCCTTGTTATTTAGAATATAATTTCGTTCCTGTTCAACCATGTTCTGATTTGGAGACTTGTCGAGTGAAGTGTCCAAGAATACTAAACAGTGGGAACAGCTGGGTCGTAATAAGAGAAATTATAACAACTCCACAACCTGTCCTGATGCAGCCTTATAGTCATGCGAACAAGGAAACTAACCTATGAAGATTTGACATAACAGTAAATTAGGACAAGTTTCAACACCCCACGAGGAATCAAAAAAGATATTTAGTCAAATAAAAAAGTGATATCAGTTAATTAAGAAAAAATAATTATGGAATTGATGGAATTTGTCGTTTACAGAAAACAATAATATAATCCATTTCAACTTATTTCGCACAATACACTCAAACTAACCATTATCACTCTGTAAACGTCATGAGAGCACCCTAAAGTTCTCAAAAAGACTAGTAGTGCAAGATTTTGTGGGTCTATTAGACACCTTATTTCATTTATTATGGAGCTAGATTGACTTACCATACTACGGCTGCTCATGGACGAGTGATAATCCAATAAGCACAATATGATAGTCAGTCAGTCAGTCACAACGTAGAACTTCGTACGTACGTACATCAGTTCGAGTTGCCATACCACATTAGCACACAGATGCAGTTGTCGATTCAAATCCCATAGTGGAAGAAGTAGTAAGAGTATAATCAGAAATCCAAAAGATTAGGGTTTGAAGAAATTATTGAAGGAGTATAGTACAGTGAAATATATTTGGAAAGAGAAAAAGATAAAGACATGAGAAATTCAGAAGATTAGAATTTGGTAGAACACAAAGAGTGGATGCACCTTCGCCATTGCAAACGATTTTGAGCCATGTCATTCAAGGCCTCTAACCATCGGTTGCTGTCATCTCGCGGATCCCAACCAGGTAGTCTACACCTACCAACATGGCCCAGACCACTTGTCAGTGACTTCATTGATTTGTGCCACGTTTTGGTCTGGCCACCCCTAGCTTTCTTCCAACCTACTCCTACACCATGAAACATTGCACGTCGGGGCAGTCGGTGGTCGGGCATACGTAACACATGTCCCAGCCATCTCAACTGATGAAGTTTCACTACTTCATCAATCGATTTGCCATCCCTACCTAGTACTCGTTTCCTAACAACTGCATTACTTACCCGGTGGTCCCAGGATATACGAGCAATGCTTCGAAGACACCTATGATCGAACACTAGTAGCCTACGAATATCCTCTACTCTTACCGGCCATGTTTCACTTCCATAAAGTAGGACGGAACGGACTGCTGCACAGTAAACCCGTCCTTTGGTTGCTAGACGGATATCTCGCCTACGCCACAAATGATGCAAGTTGGCGAAAGCTAGACGAGCCTTCTGTATCCGTGCTGAGATTTCGTCAAACACCAGACCACAAGGGCTGATGAGACTCCCAAGATAAGTGAAGTGGTCTACACGCTCAACTACTTCACTCCCTATCATTAGTTCAGGTGTCGCTGCAACCCAATCCTGAAGTAACATTTTGCACTTCGAGGGAGAGAATCGCATCCCGAACATGCCTGCATTGTTGCTTATGGTGGTCAGAAGACTCTGCATTTTGTCAGCGTCTTCACCGAGTAAAACTATGTCGTCGGCGTATTCTAAGTCAACAAGTGAGCCTCCCGGTAAGAGTTCAACTCCTGGAGGCTTAGCTGATGAAAGTGCTGTCTCTAAAAGTATGTCAATGACAAAGTTAAACAAAAATGGGGAGAGTGGACAGCCCTGACGAACGCCACTTGTGGTAATCAGTTCTGATGACAGTTCGCCATAGGCTCTAACTCGACCAGTTGTGTTCGAGTAGAGAGCCTTTATGAGGTTAATGTACTTCTTTGGTACTCCTTTCAGTGACAAACATTGCCATAGAACCTCACGATCAACGGAGTCAAATGCCGCCTTAAGGTCAAGAAATACTACTATTGTGGGACGTCTGAATTTGTGTCTATGTTCTAGAATCTGACGTAGGGTGAATATCTGGTCTATGCAACCACAATATGATAAATAATTCAGCGAACCCACAAACGTTTGCTCGCAACTCAAAGATGTCTCAAAAAGTTGATCTCACTTGATAATGACTAGTAGTAGAAGTAGAATGTACGTTTCACTCAGTTCGAAACTCATCAGTCTCACCCTAGATGTCGTTCTTAAGCTTCAACAAACGGCTGTGATATCTTCTCAAATACAATTTCAAAAATATAGTCAGTCAGCTCAGTCAGACACAACGTAGATCAAAAATATAGTGTACAGAAGGGACTAGCTTTCTTGTTATCCTTTATATCCAGCGTAAGCATTGACACGTGTAATCAAGACAATAAACAGTGCCAATCTAATCACATACCAGTAGGACCAAAATTAGTTAATCTCCCATAAGGATAGCAATATGACTTGTTTTTACTTTTACACCGACTAAAAGTATTCTGTTTCTCCCCACTAAAAGAAATAAATAAACCTCTACAGCATCATACATATCAGACCACTTTGCCCAAAAAGTTTTCTCAGATTTTTTGTAACATTCCGCTGAAATGAAAGAGTGGAAAGTATGTTGAGGGTTCTATGATAAATTTACCCTTCTAAATTATAAATAGAATTGCCCTGATAACCTAAAATTGGCAAACATATGACTTGAAAAAGATTTTTCAAAAGTCAGTTGAAATTGTCTCTAGTAATTGATCTTAAAACTTTGTGTCTATGTAAACCATAGAAATGCCTAGAAGTAGGTTGTTTAAAACCCGAGAACGATTGACTCGCGAGGAGCAGGCTGGTTTTCGTTCTGGTCGAGGATGCATTGATCACATCTTCACCCTCCGCCAAATGTTAGAACACCGTCATACTTATCGCAGGCCAACAATCGTAGTGTTTCTTGATATCAGGGCGGCCTTCGATTCGTTGGACAGGACTGTTCTCTGGGATTGTCTATTGAAGAAGGGTGTGCCTGAGAAGTTCATTAACATCTTAAAGGCCCTGTATACGAACACCTCAGGCAGAGTGAGGGCATACAACCACCTTTCTCCCTTGTTCCATTCGAGCAGTGGGGTTAGGCAGGGTTGCCCGATCTCCCCATTCCTCTTCAACTTTGCCATCGACGACATCCTAGAAACAGCTCTGATGGATGTAAGTAATGGCGGTGTGGATATGTTGCCTGGAGAACGACTTCTCGACCTTGAGTATGCGGATGATATTGTCTTACTGTGCGATAATGCCCAAGGCATGCAATCAGCACTTAATCAGTTGGCAATCAGTGTCCGCAGGTACGGCATGTGCTTTGCACCCTCCAAGTGCAAAGTACTTCTACAAGACTGGCAGGATTCTAATCCTGTACTCACCCTGGATGGTGAGCAGATCGAAGTAGTTGAGAAGTTCGTGTATCTAGGTAGCTATATAAGTGCTGGTGGTGGCGTGAGTGATGAGATTGATGCACGTATAATGAAAGCCAGAGCGGCTTATGCCAATCTGGGCCATCTTTGGCGCCTTCGTGATGTTAGTCTGGCTGTAAAAGGTCGGATCTACAACGCGTCGGTGAGAGCAGTTTTGCTCTATGCTTGTGAAACCTGGCCTCTCCGAGTTGAGGATGTTAGACGTCTCTCTGTGTTCGATCATCGTTGTCTCCGAAGGATTGCTGACATCCAGTGGCAACACCATGTTAGTAATGCAGAGGTTCGGCATCGTGTGTTCGGGCGCAGAGACGATAATTCAATTGGTGTCACCATCTTGAAACACCGACTTCGGTGGCTCGGACATGTTTTACGAATGTCGTCCCAGAGACTTCCGCGTCGTGCATCATTTGCCGACCCTGGGACTGGTTGGAGAAAGCGGAGAGGAGGTCAGTGTATGACATGGTGTCGTGGCATGAAAGAGAGCTGCAAAGGACTAGCTTCCGTTGGTCCTTCACGACTCCCTGGTTGGGGTCCGAGAGATAGTGCAACACAGTGGCTAGAGACGTTATCGGATATGGCTCAGAATAGAAGCCAGTGGCGATCCTGCTGCAACCTTCTTTTACTTTCTACATAAAGAATGGTTCTAACTTTCCTAACTGAAAGAATCTTCTGGTTGTACATTTCAGCCCGCCTTATCTTTTCATCCTTTATCTACCTACTTTCATTATTTTGTGTGGCGCATATGTACCTGGTGCCCTTTTGTACCAATATATATGTGTTTAAATAAATAAATAAATAAATAATAATGCCTAGAAGTGGTCCGACTCGTCTTGAGACATTGTCAGGCATGGATCAGAATAGAAGTCAGTAGTGATCACGACATTGTTTTGTTCTACATTTCTCATAAAAGTGTGGAAAACTCTTAACTGAAAGGGTATCTCCGTTTTATTTTTAACTCAACAACAGCTCCTATAATATAGAACTGTTCGCTTATTTCTTAATTGCACTTCCCCCTCCCTCGTTCACTTCGTCGTATTGTAATCTTATTTATGTACCACACAATTTTTATGTCCAGCTGTTTTAGATTTTGTGCATTGAGTACACAAATAAAATAACTAAAAGCTAAACGAACTCACCCCTGCGGAACGGCCTTGTTTATAACTGGCTTCTCGCATCGCTTTATCAGCATGTCGCTTCTCGATTTTCTCAAGCCTCTTTTAGAATACGGTAAGTTTTGAATGAAAACACATTACCTTTCGTTTCTTCCATTCCATAAATGTATGTAAAGTAACTCTGGTTTGATTTAGTCCAAGAGCTTGCCTCTAAAAGGTAAAAAAATCCCCTGTAGATCACACGTTAGATCAAATAAAAAGCTCAGTAAGACCTCAGTTAGCATCAAAGCATTTAGGTCAGTTTTGATAACCCGAAAACGTAATTTTAATGTAACGAACCAAAAATGTATGTAAAACAAATCGACGAAGTATAAAATTGGTTTAAATAAACGCTAAAAGTGCCAAAATACTAAGGATTAACTACTCACTATCCTTATCTTTCTCCATCCCTCTTATCTAAAAGGACTAGAATGTCCGAACACCCTAAATAAAAAATACCCACTAAAAGAGTGGAGAAAAAGTGTTTTGGAACAGAATCCGAGAGTATTACTAACATCTATCTTAGATCAATGCCTGTAATCAGTTAACAAAACAGACGTCAGAAACCATTCGCACGGTACTACAATCTAGAAATATTTTACAGATTTGTGAACCTATATACGACTTCCCCAACAAGCATACGACCCCTATCTATAATTTTAGATACCTGCTTTGATAGTTTGTCACCTGTCTTTTTTGATGTCACTATTTTCATCTAAAAGGAGCTTCACGAGTTTGTTATCTTGTGAACTTAGACGAAGTGACATTTCACTTGACAAGTTATTACTAACTGTCACGATTTGATCGGTATATAGTTCATTAAAACCTAATCTGGGTACTTACCGACTTTATGTTAAGCTTTGCGATGTGCATTAAAAAGTTTAGAAGTCAATAGTTGGACCTACTACGTAATGTACCAGTACCCGTTATTTTTCCCATGTATCAAAATATCTTTTTAGATACTCTATCCCCTCATTTTAATGCCTTTTCCAGTTTGACTCTTTCGAACCTGCCAGATGGAAATTCAAATAACTAAGCCCTTGTCCATGTCTTGACACTATCAGTATGTTCACTCTAGCGTTTACTACCTTATCCTTTTTTCAACAATGACAGATGAACATGAAAGTTCGGACGTTATGAATTTGGCTGAAATAGGTTTTCATATACTCGTGCCAACACATGACCAAATTACGGCGAGACTAAAGAACATGGACGAGCCAATCAGAAGCTTTCGCGGGTTTTCAAGGTCACAGCGCTAAGTTCGGTACCTGACGCTTACGTACGGTCAGTTTACAAAGTATTTTAGAGAAAACATGATAATTAAGTGACTACAAGATATGTTACCATTAGGTTTTGGCGCAAAATTCAATTATATATTTGGATTGAGTTGTGGCATTATAGCTGATGTCAGTTCGTGATGAAAACCCTAAGTAAAATTCATAACCTTAACCATGAACTGTAAATCATAATTTGAATTCTTCACACGGGTTTATAACCCTCATTTAGTCTTAGTTATTATGTTGACACTCTCAGATTCACTCTAGCGTCGCTCAAATGTCGTCCATTATTTATAGTCTCATCTTTAACCCTAAACCATAACAACATACCGACAACACTGAAACTATGTGGTTGAGGCTGAAAGAATTTTCGGGACTTTATCATGGTTCCAGATGTCGACTAATATGGAGCCTCAGGGATGAGTTCCTGTGCCGGATGCACTATGATTTTAGAACTTCTGAACCTATATCTGACCTTGATAAGTTTTTGATACATGTAAAAGAACAGTATCCCCTTTAATTTTTGAGTTTTGTATAATATATTTTTATTGTATGCTAACTGTTTTCTGATTGGCCAATATTTCTCAAGGTCATTTAAGATTCGTTCAAAGGTCGTCCATGTTCTTTAGTCTCGCCCCAAATTACGTACCAGTTTACATTGAAAGCTACCTTTATTAACTTTTGTCGCCACGTAAGAAATGTGTATCAAAACAAGACTACCCATAAATACCAAAATAAATTGGAAACATCACTGAGTGATGTTTTATATGTACCTCCCGTTCAACTAAATCCTCGATGGATATTATCTCCTTTTGTTCTTCCATTTTCTTTTTATCTCGTTGTAAGATGAAACCTAAAACAATTAGTTGCAAACGCAAGCAAACCAGGTGGCAATGAATGTCTGTAATGACATGTCTTTCCATTCGGACACTCCCAAAACCAACCATACTTGAAATTTTCCACTGCTTCAATGAAGTACTTACATACCTGAAGACCTGATGTGAAAACCTATAACTTACTATAGTACTGGGTGGTAACCCTTTGTTATCAGCACCATGCTTTTTGCTAATCACTTCTTCTAATTTATTTATGTCCCAGTCATCCATAGTACCATCCGTTTTATCAGACTCAGAATAAATTCCACGCTTTTCTGCCTTCCGTTCAACAGTCAAATCATGGGAAAATTTGCACTTGTCACCTTTGGCACATAAACCCTGTTTAAAGAAGACGCATAGAACTGACTTTGGATCAACCCCTAAGGGATACAGCTAGCATAATATATACCACCCACCTTTCGCACACTTTTGTAATTCCAACACAGGCTTGAACAAATCATTAAGTTCGAGCTTCTCTTTTTTCTTGTCTTCCTTCAATTGTTTTTCACGCTCTAACTAAATAACATTTAACTAGAAAATTGTTTCGCACTTCTTTGGCAGACCTGTTACCTTGAGTAACTTGTTTTTGCACTTGTTGAATGAACTTTTGTTGCTTGGCCCCTTTTTTATTTTTCATTCCAAAAGTTTTATCCTTGAGAAAAAATAGTATGGGCGAAATTTGTGAACTACCTCGACGACCTTCTGCTTCTGTTTTTCAGCATTCTTTTTAGAGGGTTCATTTTTCTTTGGGGGCATCTCGTACCGACTAACTGCAAACTCGCCGCGCACGTTGAGCTCAGTAAATGGTTCAAATGGTCCAAATGATTGTAGTCACAATAGAAGGAGCTTTCGCTTAACGGGCTTCCGTATCGAGTGGCAGTGGATCACCAATACCTCCAAGCATGGAACTATGTATGTTAACGATAATATAGGAAAAAAGAAATTGGTAAACCATAATAATATGTTATCCTTAGTCCTTAAGAATAGGTCAAGTTTCCTCTTGAATGACTCCTGGTAAGTCGTTTGGACTAGTTCAGCCAGCAACCAATTGCAACATTTGACAACTCTTAAGGAGTAGAAGTTGTTGTCTACAGTCTGTTCTGTTACGCTAGGTTTCCAGTTTCTGGATGTTACCTCTGAGGTTAGTGTTATGACTAAGCTTAAGAAGTTGTTTAAGGGGATGACCAGAAGTGTTAAGGATACTGTAAGTCATAAGAAAGTCACCTCTAAGACGCCTGTACTCTAACGGGTAAAGGTTAAGTGATTGGAGGCGCTCTTCGTAAGGCTTGAATTTCAGTCCCCTAACCGATTTCATGGCTCGCCGTAGGATACGTTCCAGAGTGTCCTTATCCTTTTGGAGGGAGGGAGGAAATACTATATTTCCGTACTGTTAATGGGGGCGAATAAAACTGTTGCACATTATGTGGAAGGTTCTACCATCAAACTGGCCAAAAATGCGCTTCAATGTTACCAGTGCAAGGTTTGCTTGAAAGGCGTTTTTGTCACAGTTGCGTACGCCTTCAAGTCGTAGGGTACCAACACTCCTAAATCTTTTTCGACTTGGAATACTTCTAGAGAGGAGTTGCCTAAGTTGTAACTGTAGTCTGTGATATGTCTTAGATGGACAACTTTACAATTTGAAGTGTTGAAGGTAAGTCCGTTTTCATCTGCCCCACTTTGAAGTCGAGTCAGATCCTGCTGAAGTGCCAGTATATTCTCTTGGTGGCGTATCTCTCTCCAAAGTTTCACATCATCAGTAAAATGCAATAAGTCAGTTGATACATATTGTGGGAGACCGTTTATATAAATCAAGAAGGGAGGAGGTCCTAGTATTGAGCCCTGGGGGACCCCATTAGAACATTTCACGGCCTGATGGAAAGTGAAGTTAACCCCAACCTTAAAATGTAGAGTTTTTAGATATGAAGTGAGCCAATCAATTAGAGGTGGTTTGATACCCAGTCGTTTAAGCTTATTAATAAAACATATGTGGTTGACCCCATCAAAAGCTTTTAGAGAAATAAGGACAAGTAATGTCAACCCTACTCTTGCGATCAAGGATGATTGTCCATCTGTCCATCGCAGTCAGAAGGTTGATTATACAAGAGTGACCCTTCCTGAAACCATACTGTTGGGGTGAGAAGAACTTTAGAGATAATAAGTAGTTGTTTATACTATCTCATATCAGGGACTCAATAATTTTATAAGGTATAGAGCGAAGGGCTACCGGTCGGTAGTTCGAAGGTTCGCTGCGTCGACCTTCCTTGAAAATTGGTGTGATGTGAACCAGCTTCCAAGTTTCCGGTAGTTTGCCTTGACTTAGCAAGTGTGGGCACATCACGCTAAGCAATGTTGCCAAGATTGAGGCTGCTTCTCCCAGTATAGCAGAATGAACCATATCCGGACCAGGAGAAGTGTCTTTTCTTATGTGCTGCAGTTTACGGAACACCAGGTCAGCACTCAGGTTCATTTCGGAAATTCTTGTGCAGTTGCAGACAAAGCTTTCACCAGTGTAGTTGATGTGGGTCGGTTGAAATGTCCGAGAGTACTGTTCAGCCAAAAGTTTAGCAGCATCCCCGTCGTTACTGGTCGGACCATCAGGACCCAGCAGCTGGGAAACTCCAGTTTTGGCTTGTCAAAGAGAAGCTGTGTAATCGAATAAGCTTTCCTGATTGTAGACAAATTTATCGATAAGCTTGATCTGGTACTGAATCCTGTCTTCTCTTATTGCCTTTGTGCATATGTTCCTTATATGTTTGTATTGCCCACACGCGCTGTTGATATCAGTTCGTTTCTATTCAGCCCCAAAGTGCCTTTTGTGGCTTAGCAAACGAAGAGTGAGGTTCTTGATGATTGTAGTTTGTTTGTATCTTCTTGAGACCGTTAGAGGAACTGAATGCTTAGTAGCACATAAGAGCTTGTGCAGTAAGAAATCCCAGTGAGCAAGTTGAGGGTAAACATCCCAATACACCTGTTGTAGATAATTCTATAAAGTTGACACATTCGATAGTTTGAAATTCCAGGGCCTGTTGTTGGTGGGATATCTTAGCTCAGTTTTGCTGACAAAACTGAAGTATGTAATGACGTGGTCGCTTTTCCCCAGGGGACCCAGAGTTGAGAGGTTGTCGACTAGGAATTCTTCTTTTGAAAATACCCAGTCTAAGCACGACAGAGTTGCCGAGTTGCCGACTTCACATTTTTGAATAATCCCAGATCCCAATGAGGTTGAAGAAGCGGGCTTCAGATGAGTTTTCACCTCCAATATACATATGTCCCGCAAAATTACCTTTAGGAAGATTGAAGTCTCCTAGAATCTGGATATAAGTGAGTCCGAGACGAGTAGAGCAGGACGATCCCTCCAGCATACGATTGTTGTACTCGATCTCTAAATTATCTGCTGGTGGGATGCATATACAGACCACCTCATGCAGACTCTAGGTTTGACAGATTACTAACAAACATCTTTTCCATCGCTTCTCACCAAACACATACTTTTAAAATCATCGGAGGTGATTTTAATCTGCCAAACATTACATGGGGTTCGATTCCGGTACCAGATCGACATGACAAGTTAGTTGAAACACCAGAACTTAATGGATGAGTCCAAAAGGTCCGACAACTGACTAGGAGAAATAATATGCTTGAATACTGTTTACAATCAACATAGATTCTATGTCAATGCATATCAGTCATGAGATTTTTAAGAGTAATCACAGAGTATTATTGAGTATTATTCATTACTTTGACGCCATACAATTGAATTTTAAAGCTGCAATGATGTACAAGAATAGACATTTTGATCAACAAACCCGGAAATGGACTGAAAATCTTATTCGTTGTTTACCATGGGAAACTTATTTTACCACAAATAATATTGACATTGCGCTCTCTGATCTATACCACAACTTGATATACTGCCTCGACTGCATTGCTTCAATTATTAGCCATGTGGCTTATAACGTCAGTAGGGGCCAGAATAGATTTAAAACTTTTAAGAGAAAGCTGAGGAAATTAAAATACCGCTACCACGAGCATAATGGCTTGTATGTACTTCAGAGTATACTTAACTTAATCGACAGGAGTGCTTCATGTAAATGCAAGTGTTTTATGAATATAGAAAATAAAGCCCTAGATAATAAAAGCCCAGAATTACCAATACTTCGGCTTTTTAAATCGCATGTGAAGTCAAATTCTCTTGGCACGACGAAATTCTTCATAGTTAACGGAAGAATTGCTGATGACCCCGATATTATTTGCGAACAATTCAGTCAGCATTTCTTGCAGTGCTATAACACTAGAACTGAAAGCTGTATCAATACATTTCCAATGCTGACATGCAGGCACCTGTCGAAAATTGGTTTCGTACCCTCCAAAATCAAGCAGGCCATAGCTGCCCTGAAAAAGTCCTATGACTGTGGACCTGACGGGATTCCTTCATCACTTTTGAAATACAGTTGTAGATAATTCCCATTATTTTGTTTAAAACTTTCAACCTATCTATGGAATATGGGGCCTATCCATCTGTATGGAGGACATCTCTTATCAGCCCCAGATTCAAAACCAGATCACTCAGTGACATTGTTAACTATAGACCAATTAATTTGACATCCGTGCTATCAAGAACTATGGAAAAAATCATCCAAAAACAGCTATTATCATTTTTGCTTTCGGCTAATCTGATTAGTTCATCCCAACACGGGTTTATGACTGAACGCTCATGCTCCACATCGCACCTAGAATTTTTTGATCAAATTACCCAGAGAAGAGATGTTAGCCGGTCGGTGATAATTCTGTACTTCGACTTTAATAAGGCTTTCGATAGCGTCTCACACAAACTTCTAAAACTCTCTTCACATGGAATACAGTGTAGTTTGGAAATAGATAAAATTCAAAGCCAAGTTGTCCTTGTTCTGATTATAGCTTTCAAATAGACTATTGAGTCGCCAGTATCAGTTGTACAGTTCTAGTAGAATATCTGTAGCACAAAACAAATTATACAAATGTTTTAACCCCTTAGAAACTAAATCAACAGTTTCTTCAACACTATCATATTTTTTATGCTTCACGTTCAATGTAGTCATGTTGAAATGATATTTTAGTTGTTATAAACTGTTAACTTTCTAAACTTTTGTGATAATTTGAAGTATTGTAATTAAAGCATAAACTAATAATCCCTGGAATAACGCAATTTAATCAAGAAGTATTAGATGAGCACGAACGAATGGACTGTATTTGGAATTCAAAATCAAAACAGTCATCAATACAAAGAAATGATTGATTCGTGTGAACAGCTGATCCGACACAGCCTTAATTGCAGTGTCAGTGTCTGTGATCGATTGAACGTCTTCCTCTTGAGTTCATCTTACGTCTGTTCGACAGTATATTTGATATAGACTCTATTATCTTGAATGCACTCGTCAGTATTAGAATTAACAATCGAAATGGGGACGGACTCACCTGGGTCCTAGAATTGTATACAATCACCATGTCGATTGTGCACTGAAACCATTGATATATAGAGTTTCAACCATAGATTTTCCAACACTATCTTACCCCACAAAATAATGTTGGATCTCTATATCCCCAAGTTATAGATAATGCGGTTTCATTTAAAACATATTTCACATATTGACTAGAGTATTCATTGGAAGTGACTTCATGATAAGTATAAAAAACAATTGATATGAAGTTATCCGAATTGTAATGAAAATCAAGCTCACTTAGTACTCGTGCTTAGCATTGAATAAGTTTCCCACAAGAAGTAAATGCATTATGAGGATAAATGATATGTGATATGACATCAGGATTTGATTTTTCTGAAATATTTCCCTCAAATTTATTAAGAGTTTCACTAGAGAATAATGAATCAT